ATATTACAAATTTAATTGTAATAATTAAGAAACTTGAAATAATTTTTAAATAAATATGTCAAAACTGAGATTATTACAAATTACCTAATAAATTCTAGTATTTCTACGGCAAACTTAGTCATTTACAATCAAAAATTGTAATTTTTGCGTTGTCATAAAAATTTAGTTTTCTCCGTGAAGTTGTGATGAGATGATGTTTTCCTCTGGGCTCCGACCTGAAAATTTGCTCTTTCATTTCTATATTTAAAGTAGGTAGTGGTAGTATCCTTTTCCATAAGTTTTTCGTAAGGACAAACTCATTAACGATGTGTATTGTATGATACAGAGAATAGGTGGTATTTAAGATGTACCAGTAGGTGATCACTGATCAATTATGTTGGGACGTGTAGTTGATGCATTGGGCAATGCAATTGATGGAAAGGGCCATACAATGTTTCCAAGTAGGTGTCAAAGTCTCTGATATGTCTCTAACAGAGCTATGCAGACTGTTGTTTCCTTGCACAATTTACCTTAATAACTTATACACATTCGCAGAACTGCAACCACAGCCCAATAGGTAGTTAATTGTCTTATTGTCTCCTATTAACAGAACATTCAAGTACAAACAAAGTTGTTGTCAATAGTAGATCATTTAGGGCACGGAAGTACGGAAGTGTCATAGTTTTAAAACTTTTTGTTTAAATAAAAATTTCTGTATTCTATATTAGATTAGAAGATCCTAGCATTAAGTTTAACAATATGACATACATAAGGCAATGTTGATCATCATCATTATAAGGTAGTCAGTCCTAAAACTGGTTGGACACGCACCTCCACTCTCTCTAAAATTAGAACATCCCATCCATATCCTTAACTATTTACTAGGTCTACCCCTACTCCTCTTCACTCATTTTTCTGTCTCTAATATGTCTCTGACTAGACCTTCCATACAGTCCTTTGTTGATCATATAAAAAATAAACGAACAACAATGTGTTACTGAGAGACCCAGTTGTTACTTTCGTGTGGTTCTGATATATAATCTGACGGTTGGGCTAGACTCAATTTCCAAACGATACAGTTTCTTTTTTACTTTTTTTTGAGTAGCATAACTATCATTCTCTCGTTTTTGTTTTTCAACGTTTATCATCATCATCATCATCATCATAAGGTCGTCAGTCCTGAGACTGGTTGGACACCACTCTTTCCAATCCTGAGCTAAACTTCGCATTTCCTTAAAACTAGAACAGCCCACATCCTTAACTATTTGCGAACAGTATCTAATCTAGGTCTACCTCTACCCCTCTTAACTCCTGTTTCTGCCTCTAATAGGTCTCTGAGTAGACCTTCATGCCTGAGAAGGTGTCTTACCAACCTATCTCGCCTATTGATTATTGACTTCCATAGAGTCCTCTGTTCTCCTATTCTTTCTAATACCTCTTCATTACTAACCTTTTCTACCCACGTTATCCTCATCATCCGCCTATAACACCACATTTCGAACGCTTCTAACCTTTTCTTTTCCGAGGCGTCCACTGTCCATGTTTCGCAGCCGTACAACGCCACGCTCCAAACATACACCTTTAACAACCTTTTTCGAATTTCTAAATTAACCGTTCCCGGGCATAGAAGTGACTTCTTTTTATTAAAGGCAACACGACCCTGCGCTATTCTCTGCTTTATATTCCTACTACGTTTATGTATTGATATAATATTTCTCCTTTCGAACTAGTGAGATAAAAAATTTTAATTTATGCTATTATAATTAAGTATACTAACTTTCAAATTCAAATCCATTCTTCTTTCATTTCCTAACAAACTTCTAATGAACGGTTTAGATCAGTCACCCTGTAGATGACAAATTAAAACCCCTTTTTAGGATAAACAGTGCACTAGTGTAGTGCACCTAGATAGGTAGTATCAGATAGATTACAAGTCGAGGAAAGCTTTTGGCAAGTGCATTTCTAAGTGGCGTCCAAAGTGAGAAGTATCAGCTGCGAGAGGGTATTAATTGGACGTTCGAGGCGGCGGGCGTCGCGATGCTCTAGGATACCGAACAGAAGATCACGTCGACGACCTCGACGCTAGTCAGTTTCGCTTGCGACGCTTCGTCGTCAGGGTGTCGTCCGGTTCGTTTTAACGACGCGCGCGCCTAAACGTCGCGACCCAGAGCGTCGAAAATGTAGCCGTGAAAAAAGTATTTTATTTAAATAAATTAAATTAGATAATATTAACAACAACAACAACAATTATAAACATACGTGACGGACGGTGTATTAGTTTTTGTTTATTTAATATTTATGTTAATAAACCTGATCTGCCCCTATGTTTACATACGAGATGTGAACTATAATCTGCCACTTAATTTTCAATTGGGCTGAAACTTTTTTTTAAATTTAAATTGAAGTGACAATAGCAATTATTGCAATTGTATTATTGTGCAATAATACGATATTATACACTGTGCGAAAAGTTTAGAAATTAATAAAAAGTGATACATATGCCCTCGAGGTGGAAAACCCTGAATGGAAGTGGAATCCTAGACTTTTGCACTAATGTTATCAGCAAAATGTTTAACTATACCGCTATTATGTAAGTCTAATTTATTTATAAAATATATATGAGCTTTAAAGAAAATGATTCATGTGCAGACTCAGCTGCACTATATTTTAGCAATTAAGTATAAAACGCCTAAACTCCAAGCCGTCTAAAGTGGCGGCCCATGCAATAAAACTGCCAACAATAGACCGCCTTTGCCATGCCTAAGTGCAATTACAACTTTATGGCACCATTCAAACGAAACCCGTTTTATATTCTGTTATGTATCTGTACATACAAAGCTCAAAATAGTTTGAAAACTTTCACAACGGTGTATTCAAACGAATTCCACTATTCTGTTTTATCGAAATGTGGGAGATGCACAGGTAGTATAACATTTTTGTAGAATTTCAGCTACAAATATAAAGTCATCAAGAGTTATTGTCCTTTAACATTGTCACTAAATAAAATTTGGGCCGTCGTCCTTATTCCTGAAGTTTTATTACTTCAGCCGCCACTTTAGATGGGTCAGAGTTTAGTTCATGAATTTTTGAATAACTCGACGTTCGGAAAGATTAACATAGATATTTATGTAGAGAAAACCTAGAAAGAGGTACGATTAGGTGCTCCTCTTTAATGATGGACATGTTTGAATTTTTAACTATTTTAAGTAAAGTTTTTTTTCTTTCGAAGCCACCGAAAAGGTCGCTGTAAATAGCTGACGAACACGAAAAGCTTCCCCAAATGCTATTTTATACTTAGCAGCTAACTTCATGATGCCTTGCATAGAAGACCATATATCAAATAATACCTCTAGCTGCATAAGAAGAACTTAGAACTTCGGCATGTGATCATATGGATATAGTGGAATCAATTTTTCAGTATTTTCACTTGTATAATATTCTTATTGTTTAACAGGTTTGTGCGAATGTTTGGTATTGAATTCAAACGTTTTGAGTTTATATCGTAAAAAGTATGTAATTTTATCTTAAACCCTTAAAAATTCTATTCTGTAAAACATACTTATCACAGTTATCAATTTTTACCGGAAGTGTTCGTTTTCGGTGATGTCTGAAAATCCTGTTCTGAATTAATTTTAAATTTTCCAGCAAAAGTTTTGGCACTTCTTATTAAGTTTAGAATTACATTCTGCTGTTGCTTTATTGAAATTCTCTGGTTCTATTAATAAGTAATGTTTATTGCGTCTGCAATGTACAAGTCTTCCTTTCCTTTTTGTCCCGTTTTTACAAAGAGCTTACAGCAACTGTCTAACTTTGAGGTTTTTGGATAGAGATATTAACTAGGAGTCTGATTTCTTGATGATACTGCGAGGGTAGATAATCTTTGCCACCTGTCAGATTTCAGTGAACACCGAACCAAGGACCAATATTATTTTTATGTTCCTTATGTCTTTTTGTAATCTTATTACAACCCATTTACAACCCATATACACAAATGCTTTTCGAGTTTCTCAAGTAGTTTTACCTAAAAATCATAAAACAGGTCTATTTTTAACATATTTCCTAATTAATA